CCACAGGCGAAAAGAGAGGAAGCTGAAACGATTGTTCAGGAAATGAAGAAAGACGGGGTGATAGAACCTTCTACGAGCCCATGGGTCTCTCCGGTAGTCCTGGTTAAGAAGAAAGACGGAACAACGAGGTTCTGTGTGGATTACCGTTTGCTGAACAACGTTACCAAGAAAGATAGTTATCCTCTGCCTCGGATTGATGACACATTAGACACATTGGCTGGAAGTAAATTATTTTCTACTTTGGATTTGAAGTCTGGATACTGGCAGGTAGAAATGGACCCGGTAGATAAAGAAAAGACAGCCTTCACCACAGGATCTGGATTATGGCAATTCAACGTTATGCCATTTGGACTTTGTAACGCTCCTGCGACATTTGAGAGGCTTATGGAAAATGTGTTGAGAGGGTTATCTTGGAAAACATGCCTAGTTTATCTAGACGACATAATCGTCTTGGGGGAGACATTTGAGGACCATCTGAAGAATTTAGAAAACGTTTTTAATCGACTTAAAGCTGCCCAATTGATGTTAAACCCCAAGAAGTGCCAGCTATTTCAAGGTAAAGTCAATTATCTGGGTCATATAGTCAGTAAAGAAGGAGTGGCCGTGGATAAGGGAAAAATCGATTCCATTAAGGAATGGCCAAAACCAACTGACAAACATCAAGTGAGAAGTTTTCTTGGACTATGTACTTATTACCGGAGGTTTATTAAGAAGTTTGCAGATATCGCTAAACCATTAACGCGACTTACAGAGGAAGCAAGAGAATACCGCTGGGATGTAGACTGCCAAAATGCCTTTGAGACCTTAAAAAAGCATTTAATCACAGCACCGATTTTAGGGTATCCACTGCCAGAAGGAGAGTTCATCTTAGATACAGATGCAAGTAATGTGGGAATTGGAGGAGTGCTGTCTCAGATTCAGGGAGGACAGGAAAGAGTCCTTGGATATTTCAGTAAAGTTCTCTCAAAACCTGAGCGGAATTATTGCGTCACGAGAAGAGAACTTCTGGCAGTAGTGAAATCAGTAGAGCACTTCTATCAATACCTCTATGGAAGGAAGTTTTTAATCCGAACCGACCATGCCGCCCTTAAGTGGTTGATGCAGTTTAAAAATCCAGAGGGTCAGATAGCCAGGTGGATCGAACGACTCCAAGAATATGATTTTAAGATTGAGCACCGGGCCGGAGTTAGCCACCGAAACGCTGATTCTCTTTCCAGAAGGCCATGCCCAGCAGAGTGTTCTCACTGCAACAAAACGGAATCCAAGGAAGCAGCAGTGCTAAGAACGACGGTGGTCCACGACGACTGGACGCCTACCAAGATCAGGGAAGAACAAGAGAGAGATTCAGTTATACAGAAAATCCGAAAATGGAAAGAAGAAAACCGTCGACCACCTTGGCAAGAAATATCGAACCTAGGCTCAATAGTTAAGACGTATTGGGCCCAGTGGGACTCATTTATCATGGAAGATGGCTTGTTCAAACGAGTCCTGGAAAATGATGACGGTTCAGAGAAGAGAAGACAGTTGGTGATTCCAAAGAGCAGAATAGCCGAAGTACTTCGTCAGTTACACGACAGTCCATCAGGAGGGCATTTTGGTGTGAAAAAGACCCTTCAGCGAATTCGGGAACGGTTTTATTGGATGAACAGTTCCGACGATGTAAAAGACTGGTGTAAGAAATGTACTATTTGTGCTACGAGTAACGGGCCTTATCGAAAAAGGAGAGCTCCTATGAGACAATATAATGTTGGAAGCCCGTTTGAAAGAATAGCTTTGGACATTGCTGGGCCATTTCCAGAAAGTGATAATGGAGGCAAGTACATGTTGGTAGTAATGGATTACTTCACTAAGTGGGTCGAGATTTACGCACTTCCAGACCAGAAGGCCGCCACCGTTGCAGATAAGTTGATCCAAGAATATATCAGCCGATTTGGAGTGCCTTTGGAGATCCATAGTGACCAAGGCAGGAACTTCGAAAGCGATTTATTCCAAGGAATATGTGATAGACTAGGTATGAAGAAAACAAGAACTACTGCTTATCATCCGCAATCGGATGGTATGGTAGAACGAATGAATAGAACAGTTGGCAAGTATTTGACAAAGATGGTATCCGATCATCAGCGAGACTGGGACCAATATCTTCCGTTCTTCACAATGGCCTACAGATCTGCTGTTAATGAATCAACAGGCCAGACACCAGCCAGAGTCCTATTCGGACGCGAGATGCGACTACCTTGTGATCTAGAGTTTGGGTGTCGACCTGGAGAAGATGTAGCAGGTGAAGATTATGTGATCGAATTACGAAGAAGAATGGACGATGTACACGAGTTGGTCCGTTCCCATCTCCAAATCGCTAGTGACCGAATGAAGAAACGGTACGATACACAAGCCGAAAAGGGGTGTTTTAAGAAGAACGATAAAGTCTGGCTTTATAACCCCAAAAAGCGAAAAGGTTGTTCTCCCAAATTGCAGCAGTTTTGGGAAGGTCCATACCTCATTATGGAGAAGATCAATGATGTTATTTACCGAATAAGCAAGATTCCGAGAGGAAAGCCGATGATAGTACACCATAACCGGTTGGCGTCTTTCGAGGGTGACCACGACGTAGATGAAGAAGTGGAAGTAAACCAAGTCCAAGATGTGTCTGACCTCACGTTTGAGGAATTCATGGGTGCCTATGGAGGTACCGGTAAAGCAAGACATGGTGTTACCACTGAAGAAAGGCAAGATCTACTCGCGCTTCCCGATGACTACTCACTGGCCCTTACCATCCCGGCCAGTATCAAAGATGCACCAGGGTTGTCATCCGTCTTTCGAAGGAAGTTTGGTCGAGTTGCAGAACTTCAATGCCAAGTGCCAGCTCCTGGTAAAACCTTGAAACTTCAAGATGCATCACGTTACCTTTTCTACCTGGTAACAAAAGACACTGCCCGTGACCAACCTACCTACTGAGATGTATGGGAAGCCTTACTTCAGTTGAGAGAGCACGTACTAGAGTCCGACGTGCAAAAGTTAGCCATGCCAAAGTTGGAGTGCCGCCAATTAGATTGGAGGGTTATACGAAACATGGTGGAGGAAATCTTTAAAGACACCGAAGTCCAGGTGTTAGTCTGTTGCAATCCGCATAGTTACTGCTGCGGAGAGAAAACCGTCCCTTGTCATTTCTATACAACTGGAAGTTGTAAAAGAGGGTCCAGTTGCCGATATCAGCATGTCGTTCCAGTTCCAGTCCCGACAAGGTTCCAGGAGGAACCATCTTTTAAGAGGGGGGCAATGTTACGATTTTAAATGTTATGGCATATAGAACTGTAAATATTTTATGACTAATTCTTTTTTATTGATTCTCGTAATTTGTAGGTCAAAATATACCTGAGCTTCGCTACCAGTTGTTTACAGAAATCTCTAGACACTAATTTTAGTGAGTCATCCACGTCTCGAGGTTGAAAAACGAGTCGAGCGCCTTCACCAAAATACGAGATCATTCAGGAAGTTCGCCGAAAGTTCCAGATGACAACAGTTGTGTATATAAATGAAAGATTTTTGTATTTGAGTCAGTCATAAGAAGATCGGTAAACGCGGTATTTAAATGTAACGAAACGTGAAATAAATACATTTGTAAAGTTATTTAATAAATTAGTAATTAGCTATCGTGAGTTTTAATAAATTAGATTGTAGACAATAAATTAGAATAAAGACAAATAAATTAGAACTATATAAACGTCACAGTCCTATCGTTGCTCCACCACGCCATTCCTCAAAAACTTGACACATAATATATTCCCTATATATATTGAACATAATAGGGGGTATTATGCATCCCTGTCGAACTAGATTTTAATTTGATTTTTTGTAAAGTTTTTTGAAACCACATTACATTACATTAGGTACATTACATTAGCAGTATTATGTACATATAGTTTTTGTAATAAATACATTAGATTTATGGCGTACCCATTTCTTTAAGTATATGCTACATTTTATTTCATTTTACGACATCGAAGGCCTTGGAATAGTCAACAAAGCATAAATACGTTTTGATTTTTTTAATAAAAAATTGTAGATATCCCGAAAAGGAAGCATGTTTTTTTTTAATTACCAAAATAAAAACAGTTTTTATTTCGAATTTTATATGAGCATTGTTAGGGCAGAAAAATACTCGACAAAAAAGTGACTTTTTCTATTTCCAAAATGTTTAATGACAGATAATGGAAAAATGCTGGTAGTTTGATCGTGAGCTTCATCAGATGTTCATAAATTTTAATCAAGCATTTGATAGAGTAAGAAAAACTAGTCAGATTGATACGGATGTGTATGGAACGGTTATGATGTAAGGTGAGAGTTGGACAACAATACTCGGAGACATTTAAAATAAACAATGGACCAAGTTCTGAACAATCAGAAGTGCAAGAATCGAAAAACCGAATACAGTATTTCATCGAGAAGGACCAAACTTACTACTGGCATTTGCAGACGATATCGATCTAATAGGAAACACACCATTAAGGATGAAGGAGACTTTCGTGAGGTTCAAGAAGAAAGCAGAGAAGATGGGGCTCCAAATCAACGAAAACAAGACGAAATATATGTATATGAGCCGCAATAACTATAGCAGAGACAGAGTCGGTCAGAACATCACCATCGATGACTTTAACTTTAAGCGAGTTCTGATGAAAGAACAGTAAGACTGGTGTGGGAGGAAGTCCCAACTGAAAGGAAACCACGCGGACGCCCTCGTCTACGGTGGCGAGACAATATATCAGGAGACCTAAGCACTATAGGCGTGGAGAATTGGATGGAGGTTGTTCAAAACAGAAAACAGTGGAGGCATGTTGTCGAGTGGGCTACGGAGTAAGTAATCAAGTGAAGTGTTGCATTTTATAGTTTTCGCACCAGGTTTTGTGACAAAGCGTAAATCCTTAGATTATTTTATTCATCATGATTTTCAACTCCTCTAATAATATTCCTGATATAATGGTAAAATGCCTATCAATTAAAAGAAAATGTCTGATTTAAGAAAAAAATTAAAACAATATATTCTAACAGAATACAAAACGCTATATACAGAGGTATGTGCATGGTCAACAACTTCAGCAAACAATGAATTTAAAAAAAAAACAGATGATTAATTACCAGTTCTTCTTAAAATCTTTGTGTTTGTATGTACACCAGAGATGCCATTTTGAAAAAGACATAAAAATTTAGCTCTTAATTGCCCCTGCTCTTAAGATCATAAAAACAATATAAAAATTTAAATGTTGCTAATGATATCTCTTTAAATGTACATTCAAAAAGAAGTATAATTTTTTTCAAAGTTTTTTAAAACTTACCACAAAAAAAACAGATTTAAAGTACCGTCAGGCTGTGTAGATTAATTTTGTCTAGGTAGTAAGTTATTAGGTACCTAATAAAAAATATGGAGATTTTTATCGATTTATTTGTAAAAAATACATTAACATCTAATACCATGATATAAGAAACAGTTCTTCTTTATATTCGAACATAGAAAAACTTTGCAGGTACAACACGTTGAATGAGGCCGTGATTGAGCCAACACCTTGACTGCTAGATACCTCACATCGCCCTCTTTGAGCACATATTTTACTCGCTTGTTTACTACTTCTCTTGTGTTTTTTTAACGTAGACATCACGATTCTGCATTTCTTGTTTTAATTGAGTTTGTAAGCCATTAGGCTAGTAGCAATTCCTCTTCGGAAAATGAAAAGAAATTCAATTTCTCGTATCTCGCAGAATATTATATAAAAATTAACAAATGATAAGTCTACCAATACCCAAAATAGTCTATGGCACCATTTCTTACAATATATGTCTAGTCCAGAAGCTGTTCCTAAATAATTAGCATGGATAACACTCACCATGAATTTATTGTAATCTTTTAACATCATGGAAGCTGAAATATCGGCCTTAGAATCATCTTTTTGAGTCCTTTAGACTTTGGTTGTGAACTACTAAAAAGGTGAACAACTTTATTGTCCTCCAGTTTCCATATTTCAATATCCATCGACGAACTTCTATAACTAAAATCTCCGCTCTTCATTGATATGTCAGTTCTTAATTTATTAGAAAAAAAAAACTTTTTATTAGGTCTAATTGTTCCAAATGCTAGAGTTTTTTCACTTTTTAACTTCTCTAACAAGAGTATGGAGGTAAAATAATTATCAAAAAAAATTATTCTTTGCTTTTCCCATTTTTCTTCGGTAAGGTGCAAGACTACACGAGCTCCTAGTTAAAAGTCTTTATACTTTTCTTTAACTTTGGTATGTTGTTCCTTTTTGTTAAAAGAAAGAAATATTGTATGCACTAAAGAACACTAAAAAAAAAACAAGCCAGAGCTAGTACCGCTGCCTATTAATATCCGTAAAATAATAGAAAATGAGTACATGGAGTCCTCCCCCCCTGAATGAATGACCTCAACACTTATTTGTCTACCAAAAAAGAAAAAAAAGAAAAAAGAGGTTATATTTTTGTAAATGGGTATATTTAAAAAAACCCTTAAAAGGGGTACATCAATTACACGAACGTTTTCGGAATAAAAATTCCATCACCAGGTTTAAATTGCAAACTGACATGCCTAAGTCACCAAAATATCAGGGTAAAAACCCTTTAAATTACATATGTTTGCTAAAAATTGTCAATAATGTTAATCACATTTGATGTTTGATATTAATTTAAACAACATTATGTACAATCTTTAGCAAACATATGTAATTTAAAGTGTTTTTACCCTGATATTTTGGTGGCTCAGGCATGTCAGTTTGCAATTTAAACCTGATGATAAAATTTTTATTCCGAAAACGTTCGTGTAATTGGTGTATCTCTTTTAAGGGTGTTTTAAAATATACCCATTTACAAAGATACAACCTCTTTTTTGTGATACGAGGGATACAGCCAGCTGCAGGAATTATTTTCCTTGTGGATTTTAAAAAAGAAAAGATTCTAGAGAATGCACCGACCACCGCACCGTGAGCCTGATATCTCATACAAATGTTAAAGATCATCCATAAACGCATTTACCAAATACTTAATATGGATATTGAATAAACCCAATTTGGATTCCGTAGTGACGTAGGTACCCGTAAAGCTCTCTTTACATTTACCGTATTAATCCAGATATGCTTGGATGTGAACCAAGATATGTACGTCTGTTTTATAAATTACAAGAAGGCTTTCGATAAAGTCTGCTACAAAGAGCTAATGGACATCCTCAAAGCAGAACAATTACAATAAGTTTGAATAATGATAAATCTATATTTTAAACAGAAGGCACATATACGCATTATGAACACACATCAGTCAAAATCAAAGAGGAGTGCGACAGGGGTGTGTATTGTCACCACGACTATTCAATGTATATTCTAAAGAAATTATGAAAAGAGTCCGTGAGGGAGAATTAACAGGAATAAAGGTCAATTGAACACCAATTTACAGCGGATGATACTATCATATTAGCAGACAACCTTCAAGACCTTAAAAAGCTAATAAACAAAATAGTTAAGTATGGAGAAAAATATGGATTATCAATAAACAACAAGAAAACTAAATTTACGAGAATATCAAAAACCCAAAATATTGATAAAAGCCTGACAATTAACGGAAAAACTTTAGAACAAGTTGAAAACAACAATTATCTTGGCTCAATAAATAATCACACAAACGATTACTCCAAAGAAAGTTCGAATAGAGAAAACACGAACAAACCTCAATAAAAGCAATGGCAAGGTATTATATTTTCTCGACTCTGCTATGCGAAATAGAAGCATGGATACTTATCGCGTCGACTACTAAAAGGTTGAAAGCATTTGAACTGTGGGTGCATAGAAGAAGCCTGAAGATATCATGGACCGAGCATTTAACAACAAGTCAAGAGTCAACAAAAGAATGGACATATTGGAAACCATCAAGACACAAAAGCTGAAATACCTGAGACATATTATGCGTAATGAAGCATACAACATACTTCAATTAAATATATAAGGAAAAATTCAGGCAAGAGAAGTGTAGGAAGGAGAAGAATCTCATGGTTGCGAAACTTGAGAGAATGGTACGGTTTCACATCAATCGAACTATTCAGAGCAGCAGCATCTAAGATCGGAATAGCCATGATCATTGCCAACCTCTGTAGAGGAGATGGCACATAAAGAAGAAGAAGTACGTGTCCGGTACATGTATTCATTGTAGATTGTAGATTTACTATTTAGTTTTCTTTCAAGCCACTTTATGTCTACGATAGTCTCGCTCTGATATTTAAAACATCCGATATATCCTAAAATAAGAAACTATCAACAATATTTAATAATTTCGCGTAGCTTAGAAGATTTTTGCTAGTCTGGTCTATCCTTTTTTCCACATAAAAGAAGAAAGAGGTCAGAATACAACAAGAGGCAATACATAGTCACGAAACATGATCAGGAAATTACTTCCAAATGCCTGACTGTACTTTTAAGTCAGTAACGTCAGTAAGAAAGTACCATTTTTTTAAAAAACCAGTAAGTATTTGTCAAAAGACAATGCCTACTTACGTTTTTTGTCAAACGTTTAATCTAGTATATTATAAATAAACGTTATACTGAAATTTGATGATAATTTTTAATTTATTGGCACACGTGTTACAGATAACAAATCACAACGCACTTTTAGGTTACGCTCTAAAATCGTCATTATTTTCGCGATAAAACAATGTTGCCATTATTGATTAAAATTAACGTATATTATTCTTTTAATTGTACTTTAAAGTAGAGTACTGTAAATAAATGGTACTTTCAAGTACCGTCCGCTACCTAAGGGTATTTAAAATATCTCCAAGATCAATTCTGATTTTATATAATAAATAAAATTCACACCAAAAATTATACCTTTATTTATGTTAAGTTTATTTATCAGCACATATTCTTTTTAACAAACATATTTTTCTTGAATTGAAAAGACTGTAAGACTTGTACACCCTTCTAAATGGGTCTAACTGGTAAGCAGGTTTTGTATGTTTCAATAAAATTGATAGTGTGTAAAATAATTTATTAATTAAGCTTAGTATACTTTCGACATAATAAATGTCATCATCAGAGCTATCGTCAATCAGGCAATAAATACTTCATAGAAGGAAAATTTTGGAAAAACAACATATTAAAAACAAAGATCGGGCTCTCTAGGCCACAGATCTTGGGTCTAACCCTTATACATATATATAATTCATATCAGATAGTTAAAATAGAAAACATGGCTACCACACACAGCGACGACAGCTGTTTTTTTTTTATTAAACGGTGGTCCACTTGCGGTGACAGTGGAACAGCAGGAAGCATAACTCTGTAACATTGTATTCTTACAGGTGATTTCAGGAATAACTTTTTGATGCACGCTATTAAGCTGTTAAATAGTGGAAATTTTGTTCTTACTTCCTTCGCAACTCTGTTTATTCCATGCGCTAAACAAGTGACATGTATTAAGTTTGGATAAAATATTTTTACATTTTATCCTGCTTTCACCATATATGGTGCGGCATCGGATAAAATATGCAGTAATTTATGATTAGGCACAGCAGCAGGATGAAAAAATTTTGCTAATGCTTCCTTTAGAAACCGTGATATTATTAGAGCGTTGGTTTTTTCCAATTGCTAACAGGAAACTAAATACGAATTTGGAAAGGTTTCATAGCTAAGTACACCAATCAATAAGTGCACAATGTATCTTCCTGGCGAATCAGTGATCTCGTCCACACATATGTAAAAGTAATTATTACCTATTATAGTTTATTCGTCTTCCGGGTTTGGACCGTGTCATTTGTGAGTGACCCAAAAGTGGGTTCATCTCGACGTTTCGCTACAATTATATGTAGCTTCTTCAGGAGAAACAAAGAAAAAGAAAAAAGAAAAAGAAAAAAGAAAACAAAAGAACAGGAAGATGGGTAGTTAGCAACGGTAACTCAGTTACTCAACGCAACCAGAGGCGAATACTAACTACCAAGATGGGCATTTGGTCACAGTAACTCAACTACTCAACGCAGCCAGAGGTGAAAACCAAATGCCAGGACAGGGATTCACGTCCAACAGCT